TAGAAATCCTAGGCTGGCTTTTAACTTGCAATCCTATGGTATCGGCCTCAAATACTGGGATTACAGGTGTACAACACCATGCCTAGTTCAATGGCATTAGTTAATGTTCTGTTTCTCAAGCTCAACTATAAATATGCAGGAAATATGTTTACTTCTCTTTATCCTTTATATAAGTGTTTCTTTCTTTTTGGTCTTTTTGAGACAGGGTCTCCCTGTAGCCCCAGCTATCCTGGAACTTATTATGTAGACCAGGCTGGTCTTGAGCTCACGGAGATCAGCTTGCCTCTGCCTCCCGAGTGCTGGGATTAAAGGCGTGTGCCACCACGCCCAGCCTTTTTTTGGTCTTTTTGAGACAGGGTCTCCCTGAAGCCCCAGTTGGCCTGGAACTCACTATGTAGACCAGGCTGGTCTTGAACTGACAGAGATCCATCTGCCTCTGCCTCCTGAGTGCTGGGACTAAAGGCGTGCACCGTCACATCTGGTTCAATTCTTATTTTTCTAACATGATAACCTTGGAATTAAAAACTTACAGGATCTAGGGGAGGAGAGATGGATCAGTGGTTAAGAGCACTGACTGCTCTTACGGAGGACCTGGGTTCAATTCCCAGCACCCACATGGTGGCTACAAATTGTCCTTACTCCAGTTCCAGGGGAATCCGAAGCCCTCTTCTGACCTCTGCAGCATTGCATTACACAGGTGCACTCACATACATGCAGCCAATACACTCATACACATAAAATGAAAATGAAAAAAAAAAAAACTTATAGGATCTAATCTTTCAATTTTAGCTTTCAAAGAATTAAAATTCCTACTTTACCACAGGATTATCAGGAACTTAGAAGGAGTCATCAATGACCAAGTGCCCAAGTAAGAGATCAAATTTCTATCCCCTCCTTCCTTTCATAGTTTCAAGTTTTCCTTCTAGGTTTCTTTTATACCTCGGATACATGAGTTGCTCTCTCGTGGCCAAACAACTTTGCCTTGATTTCTTCTACTTTCCTCCTGTCATCTTCATTTAATTCTGAAATGGAGTATCCATAGTCATGTCCTAAATTAAACTTCAGATTCCAGGCTGCAAAGAAATCATAGAAACACCTCAGATTAAATACACTGCAAAACTGATAAATCATAAGTATCTGCACTTTTTTTTTTTGTCGTTTTGAGACAGGGTCTCCTTGTAGCCCCAGCTGTCCTGGAACTCACTATGTAGACCAGGCTGGCCTCAAACTCACAAAGATCCGCCTGCCTCTGCCTCTCAAGTGCTGGGATTAAAGGCGTGCGCCATCATGCCCAGCAGTATCTGCACTTTTAATGCCCATCACAACACAGCACGTGCTCTCAATTATGTGACCCATCAGTTCTTGAGGTCATTTCATTGAAAAATTTCCCCACCCTCCAAAATGGGGTGTTTCTATGCAACCCTGGGTAGCCTTAAACTCATGATCCTTGTGCCTCAGCTTCTAGATTATAGATGTGTGCCACCACAAAAGGTCTAAAAGTCTGATTTTTCTTTTAAATCAGCATCTACAAGTATTTCTCCAAAGAGGACACTCTAAATATATCATTTAAATCATTTTAGCTTAATCATTCTTCTAATCAAGACTTTTTTATTTTCCCTTTGAGCACTTGCTACAGTTACTAACACTTCTATAACACTTAATATTTCAAATTAATAAACAAAACTAGGGAGATTTTTATATCAAAATGTATAGGTAGTTAACCTCAAGATTCCAAGGCAGTCATGAACTGCTTATAAATTACTACTCAAAATGTATTTCCCATGTGTTAAAGACAGTTACTTCTCCTTTATAAAAATTTACTATTAGAGCAGGGCATGGTGGTGCATGCCTTTAATCCCATCACTTGAAAGGCAGGGGCAGACAGATCTCTGTGAGTTTAAGGCCAGCCTGGTCTACAAAGTGAGTTCCAGGCCAGCTGGGGCTGCAGGAAGACCCTGACTCAAAAAGACCGCCCCCCCCAAAGAATTAGTAAATATTCTCTTTTAAACCTCTAACCCAAATTTTAGTGTGAAATACCTTGGTAAGTATTTTTCCCCTTATATCTAAGATCAGCTCCAAGAATTTCATTTAAAAATAAAAAGAGGAGGGGTTGGAGAAATTGCTCAGCAGTTAAGAGCACTGGCTGCTTTTTGCAGAGGACCTGGGTTTGATTCTCAGCACCCACATGGCAGCTAACAACCATCCTTAACCCCAGTTCCAGGGGATCTGATACCTTTTTCTGGCCTCCACTGGCTTTACATGACACAGGTGCACTTACATGCATGCATATAGGCAAAACACCCATAACATATAAAAATAAATAATGGTGGCGCATGCCTTTAATCCCAGAACTTGAGAGGTAGAGGCAGGTGGATCTCCACAAAACTGTGAAGCCAACCTGATCTACATAGTGAATTCCAGGACAGTTTGGGACTACAGGGAGACACTGTCTGAAAAAAAAGGGAGGGGGGACTGGGGGGTTACAAGCAATGGCTGCTCTGCAAGAGAACCTGGGTTCGATTCCTAGCACCCAAATGATAGCTAACAACTATCCATAACTTCAGTTCCAGGGGAATCCAATGCCCTCTTCTGACTTCTGTGGGCACTGTATGACACAGGTGCACTTATATTCGTGTAGGCAAAATACTCAAACACATAAAAATGAAAATATTTAAAAATAAAGAAAGCCAGGCATGGTGGCGCATGCCTTTAATCCCAGCACTCGGGAGGCAGAGGCAGGCGGATCTCTGTGAGTTCAAGTCCAGCCTGGTCTACACAGTGAGTTCTAGGACAGCTGGGGCTACAGGGAAACCCCATCTCAAAAAGACAAAAAGAGAGAGAGAGAGAGAGAGAGAGAGAGAGAGAGATTGTTTAGTAAATAAAAAGAGAAAACATATGTAGTTTTAGAATACCAAATTAGAGCAGAGTAAACTGAAGGTTTTCCTGTCCTCAAAATAAGGATATTACAATGTGGGGGAAGGGGTCATAAGGAAGCCCAAGCTACATTTATCCTAACATGAGAATTCACTTCTCCAAAGACCATAAAGTCAGATTAGCACAACTAATACTGTAACTTAGCTACATTCTTGTGAAATTTTGTTTGCCATATTGTTAATAAAAAATATAAGCATTTCAGCCGGGCATGGTGGCACATGCCTTTAATCCCAGCACTCGGGAGACAGAGGCAAGCAGATCTCTGTTAGTTCAAGGCCAGCTGATCTACATAATGGGTTCCAGGTCAGCTGGGGCTACAGGAAGACCCTGTCTCAAAAAGACCAAAATAATAATAAAAATGTATTATTACTATGACAGTTTTGTAAGAAAATATATTTAGTTTCAAACACCTCTATTTAAACAAACTGTTAAAATGAAATGTTTATAAGCCTAAACACTGCCTGTATGACAATCAGTACTTACCTTGTGCTGGGATCCGGCATTCCTCTTCCTCTGCATTTCTAAGTATTTGTTTGGCCTGATTCAGTGAGGATTTACATTGCAGAAAGTACTTCACATGTGTGGCCAGTGAATCTATGCTACCACAGCTGCCCTCACTCTCTGACAACCCCTCCTCATCTTGGCTGTCTATCATGCTTCTCTTGGGTGAAGTATATGGAAAAGAGTTTAGAAAAACATCAGAAACTGATTCCAAAGACCTGGCAGCTTCATATTGCCTAAAAGTTTCATCAAACGCCACTCTGGCTGAGTCTTCAGCTTCCTGTAGAGGGCTTCTAATTGTAGTTGAATAAACTCCCAGTTTTCAATATCTCTCTGGTATTTCAAATTCGTCTGTGTGCCAATATCCTTCTGCATGCTCTCAATGCATGGGCATTCCTCTATAACTGGCTCTCTCTGATTACAAACATCAGTTGTGGAGGGCTCTTTGAAACAAACTACCTTCTTAGACTGTATAAATGAAACATCGTTAACATCTCTGAAGGCGACCAAGGGAGCAGGGAAATTGCATCGTTTCAGTGCTGTATTTTCTGCCTCCATTAAGAGAGTGCAAATTTCTTTAAGAGTTTTGGAACTATTATATGCATCCCAGATTTCCTCACAACCAACATCTCCAACGGTTGAAGATTTTGGGTTACTTATGATAACTGTATCATTAGTCTGAGAATTTAAAGGCATATTGTTAGGTCTGAGAAAAGAGTCAGGAGAATTCAAATTATCTATTGGCCTTTGGACATGTTCTGAGACAAGTTGGTGCTTCTCATTATGTGAGTAAATACCAAGAGAAACTCTTGGTAACCAGGCAGTCTGATCAACTTGTCCAAGACTACTTGAGACCTTCAGAGCATCTTCAGTTAGATGTCTGTCTGGCAATTCCTGTGGATAAAATGTATCCGCTTTCTCTGTGTGTGAATAAGAATGTATCTCTGTGTTCACATCAGTTGGATCAGAGTCAGTTGAAATCTTTAGAATATCTTCACTTTGATCTCTACCTGGCAACTGTTTTTGAAAGAAAATAACAGGCTTTATTCTTTGAGGATAAGAACCACGAAAAACTGTCAGTAATGGAGTCTTCTGGTCATCTGGTCTAATCACAGTTGAAATCACAGGCTTCTCTCTATTTAAGTAGGAACTATGGGCAGCAGTTGGCAACTTAGTCTTCTGGTCATGCAACAGATCCGCAGTTGAAATCTTGACTTTCTCCTTGAATGAATAGGAACCAGATGGTATTGTAGGTCTCCTATTCTGGTCATATAGTCCAGGAACAGTTGAAGCTTCCAGAGAACCTTCAGTTGGATCATGATATGGCAAGGCCTGTTGATAAAAATCATTGAGCTTCTCTCTACAGAGGTAGGAATTCGAAGGCCCTGATGGTGACCCAGGTTTTTGCGTTCCTAGTACAGAAAGAGCTGGCACATTCAGAACCTCTTCCGTGAGATGGCTGGCTGGCAACTCCTGTGGGGAGAAAGCACTGGGCTCTCTCTGTGAGTAGTAACTTAAAGGTTCTACTGGTATTCCAACCTTCTGGACAACTGGTCCAGGATGAACAAAAACACCTAAAGCTTCCTCACCAGTATTTAGCAATTCTTGCTGATGAAAACCATTGGGCTTCTCTCTACTCGAGTAGAGGCCAGAGGAAACTATTTGTATCCCAGTCTTCCCATCAGTAGACCCAGGAACCTCTCCTGCTAATATCCCAGTCTTCTGGTCAGCTGATTCAGGAATATCTGAGACTTTCAGGCTCTCTACAGTGAGATGACTACCTGTCAATGCTTTCTGGTTGATAGCATAAGCATGGTGACCAACAGTGTTCTCCTGAAGAGAACTTACAGCCAACTGAGGTAAGTCTTCAAGGGGCAAAGATGAGTTAGATCCAGTGGCTGAAACTCCAAGACTGGCAGTGGTGTCTGATTTCAACCTGCATTGCTTAAATGAGGCTATGCCTCCTTTAGAAGTGTCACCTTAAAACAAAAACAAAATGATTTGCTAATATTATATAAATGCAAATTTTACAACTAAAAATTCCTTTCTGGGCTGGGCGTGGTGGCGCACGCCTTTAATCCCAGCACTCGGGAGGCAGAGGCAGGCAGATGGATCTCTGTGAGTTCAAGGCCAGCCTGGTCTACATAGTGAGTTCCAGGACAGCTGGGGCTACAGGGAGGAGACCCTGTCTCAAAAGGACCAAAAAAAAAAAAAAAAAAATCCTTTCTTGGGGCAGTGATAGCACAGAAGGTAAAGTGCTTGCAGTATAAGCCCAACAGACTAAGTTCAATCTGCAGGACCCATGTAAAGGTGGAAAGAGAACTACCTCCACCATAATTGTCCATAATTGTTTCAAATAGTCTACACCATGGATTTTCAGTGCTTTCCATGCTATCTGAACACTCTGAGTTGGACAGCCTGCTCCAAATACCAACAAGCCCATTAAAGAAACTCATCTTTTAAATTCTGTTTCTCTGTTACTCCTGGTACTACAATCTGTATTAGTCAAGGTTCTCCAAAGAAACAGAACAGGTAGAATGAATATATATGTATAGAGATTTATCAGCTTAGCTCACAGGATAGGGTCTGAGTAGTCCAACAATGGCTGCACCACACTGGAGAGGCTAAGAATCCGTAGTCGCTCAGTCCACAAGGCTAGATGTCTGAGTAGTCCCAATCTGGTGCTGAAGGTCTGACGAATTCCAAAAGATCAG